TTTCAATAGAACTATATTATTCCAGCACTACTTTATTGTCCGTTCCATTACTTTCTGGAATTCAGTAATATAGTCATTTCTATTTTAACCAAATGAGAATAAACTATTTATGTTATTTTTCAACGATTTTACATGTAGTTTAGTTTTCTACTATCACTTTTTTTACCTTGTACATTCATCTTATATCTTAATATAAAATTAAAGGATGTGATACTGAAAAATGGTGAAGGAGGTACGAGGTACGAACTGTAAGAATTATGGAAAGGAATCAGAAAATGTTTCAATGTATTGACATTGTATGTGTCAAGTTATTTATTCGCTGGCCAACAAACTAATTGGGACTTTGGGACGATCCAAAGAACTATATTACAATTTGCGATGCAAAACTTTTGTATGGGCACCTGAAATACTTGTTTTTTGAACCAATTGCATAGAAGCCGTGGAATATTTTTCATTGTCTCAAAGTCCTTCAAAAGATACTATATCTCATTGAAAACTGATTCTCTTCTTCATATTGTATAAATGATTTGAAATACGATAGTAATTATGATTTGAAATACGATAGAAATTATTTTTTAGTTTTATTCTAAAATTCCAGAAAAAAATAATATAGCTCTTTTATATTAGTAGCATGTAATATTGAACCGAAATCCATAAAATCTTTAGCAGTGGATAGAGAGATAAAAAAAAACTATCGCTAACAAGGATAAAAGAAGAGACAGGTTGAAAAGAAGGTGGAACTAAGCCCTGAGGAAGCCAATATAGGATCCATAAAACTCTTCTTTCCTTCTAAATCTCTCCTCCTCTTTAGCTCCATCCTCTTTGCTTAACTTTCTTCGAATAAGTTGCAAACTGTTTAGTCTGTCTGATTTTATACAGCTTTCATCATGTTAATACGTCCCTCCCCTCACCCCCCTCCTTTCTTATTCGGCTCCAACTTACCTAAGCCTCCCTTATATATCTAGCTTAGGCATGCTGTGATACTTGGAGCTCTTATAGTTTATAGTTAATATAGTACCTGTTTTCCTTTACGGATAGAATTAATATTACATCAGAATAAAAAATAAAAAACTCAATTCATCGTGCAATCCTCATATTTATTATTACTTGTGTTTTCATAAGCATTAAAAACTTATTTTTTAGTTTTATGCTCCTATTTTTTATTGAATTGATTAATCTAAAACTATATATCGTGTTTTCTTTTTCTTTAACGAACTATTTTAGGCAATTTATCACTGTTCACTTTCGTTATTTTGTTTCCTCCGAAATCACAGCCTATGGATCCCTATTGATCATTCGCTCTGATTCAGACAAGTTGTTAAGTGAATGGGACCAGGGCAATCTTGGATTCTGTTTGTTCTTCACCGTTCCCCACTCAGGTGCCATGTGCAGCTCCGGCTTCCCCCACATGAATTCATTACCCCTCTTTCGTTTAATTCCTTCGTTAATTCGTCTCTTTAAAAGGGCCACCCCCTAAAAATAGAGTACGCTCTGTTATACGCGTTTTTTTCTACATTTTAAATGTCACATGCCAGTACACCATTTTATTTTTTTATTATCTATTGGTTTCCGGAAGAAATACTACTTTTTCCTCTTAATCTGTATTTAAAATGATTTTGTACGTCAGATTTCTCTGAATTAGATGTGCTCCTCAGTTTTTATTTTAATCTCCATCAATGATTTTGGTGCAATATTTAATTTTAATGGTTCTAAGAACACATTAATTTGGATTACTGCTATCTAACACACGCCTGTTTTTTTTTTTAAATTAAATAACACATCTATGTTCTCCGTAGTCATAGATGACTCCATAAAAGAAGAGGAATCTGGGGAGGAAGCGAAATACTTTCCAAGTCCCACCATTTATAACATTTTTTTAGATTATTATGAGTTGACCAAACCATGGGAGCTGGTTCCTTCCAGTGAGTCTTGATTCGTGAAAAAAAAGGCCTGCCCATCCCAATGAGCTAGCCGTGCTGATGCGTATAATTCTTGAAATGCCAAATGTAACATCCTCATCGCTAGGGCCTTCCTAAGACTGTTCGTTAACTGAAACACTTGTTGGCTGAGGGCCACCTGTTGTCACAAATCTAGGTTATTATGTAAAATACTAGCTCTGGAATTAGAGTTCTGAAGAGAACTTTCTGCTTAGATTATTCAATGCCGGTGTATGGAAATAACTTTCTCAAAAGACGTTTTCTTCCATTTAGCTGATTATTTTGCTTGAAAGCTTTGATTTTTTCTAACGGTAAGTTTATTTGTAATTAGTAAAATAGAGTTTATCTGGCATCTTAAAGTTGGGTATATGGAATTGTATGTATTTCTATATTATTATTCCCATCTCATGATCCGTGTTATGTCTGCATTTACTAACGTGCCAGAGTGAACAAGTGATAAGTCTCACTTGAATTGCCAACATAAAAGAGCGAAAACCCCTGTAGTGACCTAAATTAATTGTTAAGATATAAATGGAATAAAAGCTGTGGTACATGTTTGATGGGCTTCTTACATCATCCTCATATATAAAAAGACAGCCAGTGCTGCATTTATAACCGCTCATCGCGAAAACTAATTGACGGATTTACAAGCAGTTATTTGTAAAATGATTCATATTGTTTCCAGAAGATTTCAAGCTACTAAATTATCGATGAGACCAGCTGGAATAGTGTTAAATCTAGACCACAAATCTTTGAAAACACTTTCCTATTTTAATTTTAATAGATTATTTGCCTTACTCTACATATCGAATTTGTAAAAGGGTCGTTTTAGAAGTGGATGCCAGACCATTGACCGAGGATGACTTGTTGAATAAATCAAAGAATGTTTCTATTCGATCAAATTTAAGAAGGGAACTTATCGCATGAAATCGCTTAAAGAATATTCACATTTACCACAACCCCTATTTACCGCTTAATTTAAATCTATTTATTCCTCTGAATGTTTTTAGTTCGGTCTCTAATTGATTTCTAATAACTCTACTCTTATTTTGTTCTTTGCTTGCTCCGCATTTGTTTATAATTGCGCTAGGACCAAGGAAAGATCCAGAAATTATCATTAGAGGGAGCACAAATCAAAATAAAAAATTAATAACTCTTCAAAAGACTTTATAATATAATCACTAGGTCATTGGTGATAGAAATCCTACTGGTTTACGTGGAATACATAGTACAATAATGCAATTAGTTAGATTATTATTGTTTGAGTCACATTATATTCTTTCTTGTTTTCATTTATACATCGCGATTTTGAGAATGTAAAATAAACTATACATCATTATAACATAAATATTATTTTGTTTTAGTTTAAAAATATGAACCATATAATTTAAAATGCATCAATTTAAATTATATAGAGCGTATAATTTAAAATGAATCCATTTAAATTATATGGAGCATATAATTTAAAATGAATCCATTTAAATTTAAATTTACATTTTCTTAGGGGTGACACATCTGTTCCCCTAGGTGTAACCTTTGACCAGAACCTCTCTTGAAATAACCATATCTCCCAGATTACCCGAAAATCAATAACTGTCCTTAAAAAACTCCTAAGATTCCGTGACTGTATTCCTCTAAAAACCAGAGAGCTACTTCTAACCTCCTTATATTCCCCCACTTCGACTGCGGCTGTTTTGTTTATGCAGGGCTATCTATCAGGCTAGAAACGAGACTGAAGAAACACATGAAATTCCAATGTTCCATAGATCAGGTTACCGGGCAACGGCGGTGCTGTGCACACACGTAAGTCCGTTCGGCCACCCCGCCCACAAAGAAACTCATGAATTGTTTCATAAGATACATCTTCGGGATCCCGAGACGTTCACATGTTTCATTCTGGTACACCGAGTTGAAGTGGCTTTATCCTACTTCCCGACGACAATTCCTCCTAGGTGTTTTCCTTTTCCAAGTCCTCAGAACCAAAAACTCTCCCTACATCCTCCAACTCCTTACTCTACATTGCTCTATCCACTCTCTTAATACCAGGTCTCAACCTATAGATTTATATATCCTATATCCCCTCCCATAAAACTACTTCCTTCAGCAAATCCTTCGTCATCCGTGCTACCTCCTTTTGGAACTCTCTTCCTACCTCCATACGTCAATCCTCGTCCACAAATTCCTTCAAACAACTCCTGTTCCACCACTTACTCCACATTCAAACTTTCACCAACATGTAAAATTACTTGCATCTATATACTGTTTGATTTCAATCTGCACAATTGCAATAATAATAAGCAGTTAATTAGTTTGTATTTTTTATTATTTTAAACAACAATCTCATGATTGATGATTGATTCTTGGTATAGAGTTTATTATCATAAACTCTATACCAAGAATTGTGTATTTCATCTTCCATCACTAACGGATACAGGATTTAATTTTGAGGAGGTGAGGACTTCAGCCGGAAAGCTTTTTTTATGTATATAAAGACGATTATTACTTTGAAAGCAGAAACTAACCACCTATATGAAATAGTGTTTAAGTGATTCTTGAAGTCCTATTAAATGTAATTATACAAACAATATTTTTTTTCCTTTTTTGGGGGGTCGTAAGGGTTACAGCTTCCTCTTCTTTAAGGCTATACGGGATTTTCCCGGGCCAGAGGGTGTGGGCGGGGGTTCAAAAGACTTCTCCATCACCGGGACGTGAACTCGTGACTATTTTTATGCGGTTATCTATGTATCAGATATCTATGCATCCGTTCGGTCACCCCGCCCCCACACTAACAATAATACTTTTAGAGATCATTTTTCAATATTTCTTACATAACATATGGTTATATTCTACCATTTTGGGGAGCTTCAGCCCGAAAGCTTCCCTCTCCCCTTATAGATCCGCCTGTGTCTCCCATAAAAGGTTAAATGAGCCTAATGACTCGTAAGGGTTACAATAACGATACGCTCCGGTGATCTAGCGAGTTTAGGAGTGAGAGTATTCTGATTCTGTTTGCTGGATGGTGTATGTAGGACCCCTCTCGCCCAGCGAGTGTCAACACCCGAAATGAAAACGGCCACCTCAAGCAAATACAAACACACTTCATCACCGCGCTACTTACTCCATCCCTCCATCTCCACCTCAAGTTGTATTTTCTGTTCTGCTGCCTCTCCCGTCCTTCGTTGGTCTCCATAATATAATACGATATTCAAATTTCTCTAAATTTAGGGCGTGGAAAATTAGGATCACCCTCCTAGAACACTATTTTTTTACTGGTCATGTGTAAAAGCAACTTTATATCTATCCTGACATAGTCTTGCAAATCTCGAACATTTACAGCAGAGCTCTAGAGTAAGCTGCAGAGTTCCAGGTTCAAAATCATCAGAATAAAAGGTTAAACATGGCGTGACTGAATTAGGAAAATTGCAATAAGTACGAACCTCTATTTAAAACGTTTTAAATAAAGGTTCGTACTTATCCTTAAAGATAATTAAGTGGTGTCAATAGGGCCGATAAAAGTATGACAGCCAGAGCAACCTGTGAGGCAGAGGTGGATAGAAGGACGAGAGGAAAGTGGGGGCGAGGTTGCCGAGCGAGCTATCATGGGTGCCAAACACGAGTTGCCCAGTAACCTGATATAACGTACCTTAAATGATAAAATAATTGCGTTCCTTTTTTCCGGTGATTGAATTCGCGTTTCTTTGGTGAGGGGTCTTTAACTCTGACGTTGATAGAGTTCCCTGCTCTCTCCTCTGAACTGGGAAATCCCAGTGTAGCCTAACATGTGAGGGAAAGGTGTATGAAATAAAAAAAGTGTAAGCAGAGGAATGAAAATTAATTGGAGGAAAAGAAAATTGACAGGAGAGATCAAAGTTTGATGTAGGATCTGTAGGAATACCCCCATACTGCTATAGCTTTTGTTGGCACAATACTTGGAATAAAAGCTTATTGAAATATAAACATCACTATTGATGTATTACATTTTTAGTAAGTAAAAGATATTTCATAACTAACTATCTTAGGTAATTTATTCATGTTACTCTTACAAAATGCTTTCAGTAACAGGGATTTGCAGATTTCTATTTATAAAAAAAAAAAAAAAACTTGAAATGTTTTAAGTTTAACTGATTCCCATAATGTCATCTTTCTATTAGAGAAGATAATATGTTACTGAATGAAAGAATTACATTTTATTTTCAAAAAATAATGAATAATAGAAACAATTCTTTATTGAATGGTCTACATACGAAATGGCATTTTTTTTTTTTTTTTACGGAATAAGGTTTTTCTCAAGAAATTATTGTGCATATACGATTAAAAGCTGGTATTAGATAAAAATTATATTTTGGCTCTTGATTGAAGTATGTGTGAGAAAAAGTTGTTTACAGCCTGGGCTTGTCCTATTTGCAATCAGCTAGTTCCGTCCAGTCCTCTGTTGACCTTCCCAATCAGAACCCCGCTCCTTTAACAATTCTCTCAGGTTTGTTTTACCAGGTCCCTCTTCTTTTGAGCCCTCTTCTTCTGTACTTTCTGTACGTTCTATAATTTCTTACTCTCTTTTGTGCATTTAATTGCTCCTGAAATGTTTATAATTTAAATTATTGATTTATAGAACAATATCTATTCTTAAATATTATATCTTTGATTCTGTCCATAAATCTGTCTTAATTGGTTTAGTGATTGATGAAGATTTGATGAGCTAAAAGTATATTTTTATTATTAAAAACTAATTTTTATATAATTGTAAATTGTTCTTTCATTCTCTCTCATAATACATATTAGGCATTAATGTATTTGTTTAATTCCAGGGGCGGTGTAATCGAGACAAGCCACCGTGCAAATATTTCCACCCACCACAACACCTGAAGGACCAGCTCCTTATTAATGGTAGAAATCACCTTGCACTTAAAAATGCCTTGATGCAGCAAATGGGTCTCACACCAGGACAGCCATTAGTACCTGGTCAGGTACCTACTGCAGTTGTAAGTACCCATTTATTTATAGCACACTAATAATATCTTTTTCTTCATCAATAAATCCTGAATGAAAAAAATCATTTATATTGTTTCAAGAAAGAGCTTCTATGTCAAAGTGATGTTTTACAAGACATTCATATTTTCAGAGACATGTCCCAATAAGACAAAATTTTATTTATAATGATGTAGAGATGGTTGATCGTTGATATAATATGAGAAGGAGTTAATTGGGGGGTGAGGTAAAATAAATACTAAATTAAAATATAGTAATTATTTAATTTTTGCCGAAGTTTCGACCCACTTTGCATGTCGTCTTCAGGGCGTACGATGTAGCACTGCGGGAGGCAGCTGAGTGTTTAAACTGCTTCCCTACATCCTACGCTTTGAAGACGACCTACAAAGTGGATCGAAATGTCGGCAAAAATTAAATAATTACTATATTTTAATTTAGTATTTATTTGACCGCACCCCCCAATTAACTCCTCAAAATTTTATTTAGTTTTGAATGTGTTGAGTCCATGATGATGCAAAAACAAATAATATTTATCAAACAAGATTTATTTTAATATATTTTGGGACAATGGGACATCATGCTGTTTTGAGTCCCTTATGCCTCCATAAGTCATGCTGCATCATAAGGATTTTTTTAAATTAATATTTTATAAAAAATGATTTATTAAATCTATTAGCTCTATGTATGTATCGAAATCTTCTCCATTGTTATGTACTTAAACTATTCACTATTTTTAAGCTATTCTTATCTCAACAAATTATTTTATCTTAAAAAGTCAGGAAAATTTGTTAGGATTTTTCATTATTCTCAAATCATTTTTAATTTCATTTGATGACCATTTACCTAGAAATATCTGGACTTTCTGAAGGAAAAAACATTATATTTATTTGATTTATTTTTCAGGCAGCAACGACACCTTACCTTGCTGGTGTCCCACAGGTTGGAAGCACATTCTCACCTTATTTTTCACCTGGTCCTATCATGCCCCTCACAGTTGGACCTGATCCCACAGCGCCCCTTAGTATGGCAGTCCAACAAACTGCTGTAGTAACACAACAGAAGATGCCTCGCACAGACCGTCTGGAGGTCAGTCTTTGCATTAGAAAATATTGTTGTTAAATTTTTTCACTAAAGTTTTATTTCATCGTATTGTACGAATCCCTTTTAGAATGCAATGGATCAATTAGTCCGAAACCAAAGAGATTATAATATGCATGTATTTCATCTTTTATCCACTTTTTATAATTTCTTCCTTTTACTCAATTTCATTTCTGTATATCCCTATATAAACTTTAATTTCTATCTTTTTACTTTTCTATCTGACTAAACCTCATATATACATCATAAATATTCCAATTAGTATATTACTACTATATAGTGTAAATATTGTGTATGTTTAAGATAAGAAGCTGCAACTTACCCCAGCATGGGCTCAGTTTCACTCTAACCAATATCTATCTATGCACTAACACTCTATTTTCTATGTTCTTTGCTTCACACCCCTTCTATCTCTCTTTTTAACTTCTGCAGTCGACCTCCCACACCAAAACTCAAGGCCTCATTTGCTTTTGTCATTAAAAATAAAATGTAAAACATTGTTTGGTTGAAGAGTCAAATTGTTTTATTTAAATACAAATTTGAAGCTCTTACATCATATATACAGGTTACATCTACATTTATAGTTCAATAACCTCATTCTTATATTTTATGTTAATTAGTGTGTTCTTTTATCTGGTATTTACTAAGGGAGGATTTGCAATACACATTCTTTAATTGAATCGAATATTAATGTAATTCATTAAATTTCACCTTGGAACTAAAAGTCCAAAGATTTAAAATGTTAGTGAACCACAGACATGAAATCAGGGTAATGTATACATAATTTTTTGAAAAACCATATGCCCTCCTACTATTGAGACTAAACTAAAGTTGGAAGGCATTGGCCTTTTTGACAATAATTGTATATAACCAATCCTATTTTCCTTCATGCATTTCATTCAAATTTCAAAGTTCTAGATATTGGGCCTTTTTTATATGAAGGCACAAATATTAATATAAACTAGTAAAGTAATTTCCTTATTTTAAATTTTTTTTTTGTGGTTAGCAAAAAAAAAGCTTACAGTAAATTAATTTTACCTTAAGTTTCAATAATAAATATTTATCTATAAAAAGAAATATAAATCTATATATCTATAAAAAGAAAAGCTTGGAAATAAAACGTAATAAGCACTGTTGTGTTCTCTAGAGTGGGGAAATAAAAAAATGTGTATTTTATAAATATATGTACGTTTCAGATTTGTTTTTTCTCTCAATTAATATATCCTCCAACAGACTATAACCTTGGTCTAATAGTGAGCAAAAAGGGAATCTAGAGAAAAAAATATCTGGTGCGCTTGAATCAATTTATTCGTCAAGCTGCTTTTTAAGTAGAATTTTTAACATGTACTCTGCCATTTCTATGGAGTTTATACATCAATTGTTTATTTATAAATGACATTCATTAAACAAATAAAGATATTCATTAAACTATATTCAAAATTAAATATTTAAATGTTATCGTTGGACTTAAAATAATTTTCAAAATTTTATTTAATCTTTGGTATTTAACCATTTTTTTTTTTTTTACATCTAGTTATTTGTAGATTGTAATCAAGTGACTTTATTTCCGTAGAGGTAAAATTTTACTTTATGATAAGCCAAAGTAACATTGTCTTTTGGCGATTTTATCAAAATTTGAGGGATGAATTGTGAGATTAATGGTAACCACTAACTCATTTAGTTCAATGACTTTACATTTTCATTTTCAGATCATCTTATATTCCTAAAACATTATTAGTTTCCTGATATTTATGTTATTTTTTCTGATTATTGTTATTCCAGTATTTTTGTTTCATTTATTTAAGATTATTTATCATTTTTATAATTTATATATTTTATATACCTCATTTGCTAATGCAGTTCTATATGATATGTCATTTTATGTAACTTTTATTAAAATTGAATTTGAAAAAAATATATGTAACTGTTTCGAAATTGATTAGTATTATATAATATATGTAACCTATTTTGATAAGTGAATGCATAAACTCTTTTCTGTAGTTGAACACACAACTTCATATGAAGTTTTCTTTTAAGGCATTATTATGTTATTGCTTCCAAAAGAGGGTTTATAAAATGTATTTGATCCTATTATTTGAGAAACTTCTTTCTCATTTCTAAGACATTAGGTATTGTTAGGCACTTGTTGATTTATGAACATTTTGGTTGAATTTTAAAATCAAACTTAAAGTGCTATAAAAAGAGATAGCACATTCTATATAAAAAAAAAGAAAAGAGAGGCTTGGCATAAAAGAGTGTTTGGTGTTGGTCGTGCGATGCCAGGTGTGTAGGGAGTGGCAGCGGGGGTGCTGCCAGCGGCTAGAGTGTCGGTACGCCCACCCTAGCGCACCAGTCAGCCCTGCTCCGGACAACACTGTCACCGTCTGCATGGACGCCCTCAACGGACGCTGCCTCCGTGATCCCTGCCGTTATTTCCACCCCCCGCTCCACCTTCAGGCCCTTATCAAGGCCGCTCACTCGGTACGCAATGCCACCTCACCATGGGTGGCAGACACTTGCTTTACTTTTTCTTCTTGCTACCACAGTGTCGCACTATAAAGATATTCCTATTCATAAAAAAATTTATAAATAAGTATAAAAGTAACCACATTACTTATTTCAGTTCTAAATCTTAAATTTACACCATCATTTATAACTCTTTTCATTTAAATAGAAAATGTCTGCCTAATGTTTAAAAAACCTTCTAACTTTATCTGTTCATTACTTTTTAATTTATTGAGATGTACTCATTTTTATCTTAACAACTTCAAATACACTTTAACTTAGTCTTCTCAACTTATTCACCAAATAATTTTGTTACCTCATGCTTACAAGATTTTATTTGAAGTAACTTTTACTTAATTCTTTAGTTATAAAAAATATATAGCTGCTACACTGTGGTCCCCTGCCAGCAATTCCTCTGCTCTATCTTTTATTTATATATTACTGCTTTTTCTTGCTACCATCTCAGAGTTATCTGCTAAGCTTCTTGGCTGCTCAAATTTGTTTTCAATCTTACTGTAAATTGATTTATTTTTAATTTCATTATTCTAGCCTTTTTATTTCTTAAATATTTTATTATTCTCTTCCTTTTTTCTTTACTGTCAATTATTCATTTTTATGGACAGAATAAACTAATTATACAATATTTTATTTATTTTATTTTTTTAATTCTCTGAGATGATAGTAGTTCAGATTTAACATTTGATTGTATTTAATTAACTTAATATACTTTATTTCTTACATACTTTTCCTATATTTTCCTAACTTCCTCTACTAATTCTCTTAATCTATCTACCCTTAGTAAGTAGCTTAGATGTATTACTTAATAAAGTCAAATTTATTATGAATATGATATAATTTTCTTAACACTTTTGATGGCTATGTGGAAAGTTATAATATTTAAAAGATGATTTGACTCTATAAATTTTAATAATATTTCTACATGTTCTAAAAAGCTTTCCACATAACTATGAACAGCTTTGTTTTTACCAAATTGCTAACTAAAGGAAAAATTTAATAATGCCAGCTTTGGCAGAAAGGTCTTCGAGTTTTGTAACTTGTAGTTTTTAGTTAGAGCTTTATTCTATTTCTTTACTTTATAATTGATGCCGTATGCATGATATCCAAAACACGGCACAATTTTTTAAACTGTTAAGTTAATTAGCACAGCACTTTCTTTACTCTAGATCAACCATTCAAAAATATTTTTGTTTGTGGTTAGAATTTGTAAGTTTTAGCTTCCTATAATATCTTCTCTTTAATTACAGAAAAACTTAAAAAATGTATTTGTGCATATACAGATATTAACATTGTAGAATTTAACATAGCTTTTGTAAAATGCCAAATCTAAAATACTCTATCTATATCTATTGCCTGTAGTTATCTTTTATCTTTTTTTATTTATTTTTTTTTTTTTAACATTCTCAATCATTGCATGTTACAGAAAAGAAAAAAATGAATCTAATTAGCCAATCACTGAGTCCGCTCAATTTTTTTAACTCTGTTTGTTATTTTGTTTGATTCTCTTTTGGTTTGCGTGCCTGTGGCTTGGCTGTTGTGACCCCCGGCTGCTAACATAGGGCGGCGGCGGAGGATTCTCGCAGAGGAAGAGAGCCCATGAGCCAGCCGATGAACTTCTCCTGGTACCGACTCGCTTTGCACAAGCCGTCCCCGAGGCTCCACGCCCCCAAAGTGTCACGGAAACCTCCCACATTCTTTACCAGACGGTAAAGGTTCTTGTCCGTTACACTCAGGCTCTGTGGAGCTCACGGGAGGCTTTCCTAGTAGACAGAGTCGCATCTAAATTCCCTTTTTAATTTTATATTCATAATGGTTTTATTATGAATAATTGATTATTAACTGGACATCTTGAATGTATCGCTGTACATTTAATAGCTATATGATATGAAGTGGACTACTCAAAATAAATCTTTGATAAATACCCTTAGTAATTTAAACTTTTGAATCAAGTGTAAGTTACATTCATCTTCTAAATTATGCTCCAAAATCTTTGATATATTTATTATATCTCATTTTATTTTTCTGAATACATATATTATGGTTCATTGTTTTGTTGCTGAATCATTCGAAGGTATTATAAAATGAGCATTATTTTAACAATTGAATTCTTTTCCATAATCCATACCTGATTATATTTTATTAAATACGTAATTAATTTGTGAAATTAACATCTTTAGTCTTGTCTTTATATCATAGATAAGCCTATACATTGAAGCTGTCCTTTTAATTGTTATTTATATTGATAAATAAATAGTAACTAAAATAAATTGAGATGGGCTCTGAAAAGCTGGTCACATGGCTCGGCCAGCCTACAGCCTCATACCTCTTGATTTTGACTACTTCTCTTTCATTAACTCCTCCCTTTTGTTGATTAGCTATATTTGATAGCATTGCTTTAGTAGTTACATAACCCTTTTAACAATGACGTGTGTGCCACCCAGTTGATTATTATTTGTCTTACTAGGCTTTAAGTCATGTGACCTTGCTTTTATTTGACTATATTGGTGTTGTAATTACCCTTTTAATACCATTATTTCCTGGTGCACTAGCTTTCCTTTATTATCTTTTCTTTTTGATGTTTTGTTATTTCTTCAAAATCAAGCCAATAGCTTACATTCTTAATTTCTATTGTATATTTTTTAGCTCTTAGATATTTCAATTTTATTTTATGAAAAGTACTATCATATATTTGAAATTGAAATACGTTGGTACTCAAAATTTGTTTATTAATATTTGTATATGAGAGAGAAGCTAGTGCACCTATGTATTACTAGTTTAATATCGCAGTAGAGTTGTTGTCAGCATGTTGTGCCAAAATGCTTTCTAAAATTTCTTTGGCGTTTTGACACTGCATTGCCACAACACAGTCTAATAACCGCCTGCTTAAAGCATGACCAATTGCTTTACACAGTCACTACTGCATCTTTAGTATTACTTTTCTTTCTTTTTTTTTTTCTCCTTATTTTATTTAATTTAAAACTCTAATGGTTTTTGGTGATGGATTAATACCATTGCTTTTCGTCAGAGGCACTTATAAAAGAAAAAAAAAAATGTTTCTTTATAATGACATTTGATATGTTAATTTAGTTTCTTCTTTTTTAAAAGTTTATAAACCTTCAGTTGTGGCTGTGGTTATTATCTTAGTTAAAAAATTAAGTGGTGTCTTTGCTTTCATTCTTTTCATTTCACATTAAAAAAATCCAAAGAATATTTTCTATATTTCTTCCCCCAGATTTCTAAATTTACTTTCAGATTTGATATTTCTAGCATTCTTGAATATATTGTTACTACTTTTGGTTTTATAATAAAATACTGAATTGTTTCAGATGGACATGAAATCTGTTGGTTCTTTCTACTATGAAAATTTTGTAAGTTTGTTATTAAAAAATATTTATTACACTTATAATCTTAGTTATAAATATATTTAGAGATTACACAGGAATAAGACTTTAATCATTCTGTTTTAAAGCTTGTTTAGTTGTGTCAGTATTTTGAGACACTACTCAAAAAATTGAGACAACTTCAAAATTAACAAGTTACCTAGTCACATATTTTTATATAAATTTATGTGATTACTAAAGACGAATCCAAACTTATAAGTCATAATAGTTATATCTGGGATATGGATGCAACATTTATTCTGTTTAGGTTATATTAAGATTTTCCATTAATAGAAAATGGCATGTTTTGATAGTTAAAAACTTAACATTAATCAAACATGGTATACCTCAGCTCTTGAAATGAAAATAACATCTCAAAATGTTGGTGAATAATTTAAAAATTCTTAAATAGAATCATGGAAGTCTTATTGCCATCTAATCATTGAATATTTAAAGGAAAAGTTCTAGAACAGCTCTTTAACAAGCTTATTTATTTATTTAATTTTTGTAGTTCATTACATTATTTTTTTCAAGTTTGACTTTTTTTCTTTTGGTTGAATTTCCACAATGTAAATCTTGTTATTTACTTTTCATTGATAAATTAACAGAGACATTTCACTTTTAAATTTCCTAAGACAAATGTAAAAATAAAAAAAATAATTTTTAGTACAGGAGAGGCTCTACTATAATATATGAAATTGGCTTATATAAAAGTTACAATTACTATTTAGCTATCATTAAACAGCTTCAAGTTAAAATCAATATTTTCTGAAACTGAAAATAAATATATATTGATCATAATATCAAATCAAGTTAAATTCCTTAGCAATAAACTGTTTAAACAAATATGTCTCTAGTGTCTACTTAAAAATGCTTTAATTGACCATTGAAGGGTCAAGTAGATAAAGGTAATAAGTGACATTTAATAAAAAATTTAATAATTGTTCAGAATAAAGGCACAATACTTATTCCATTCTCATCAATTCAATAATTTATTCATAGAAGAGTTGATAGAGGTACTCATTGGCAATAAGCGTTAGCTTTGCTGTGGGTTAAGTTGATTTGAATTCATTTTTCTAAGAACCCAAAAATCTTACTTATAACCTTTATCCGTTTCACCTATCAATTGTTTATTTCATTGTTGTAATTGAAGGTTTGAATATTAAATGATTTCTTATAAATAGGCATGGTTAATTTTCATAAATTATTTGGAAAACCGTCGTTAAAAATTTTAAAAACGCGTTCATTTCAAAAAATCTAGATGGAGGAGAGAAAAATGTTTCCTGGCAAGGGCCAAATTAACAGAAATTAGCTCAAAAAGTTTAAAATGTGGCATATAAAATAAAGTTGGAAACATAATAAGTAATGAATAGGAGGTGTAGTCTAAAACCATTAGTTAAAATAGGCTATTTTTCTGTATAAGCAATATATGCTACAACATTGACCATAACATGTACTTAAATCACTGTTGACCATCAAATGTTTATTCTAAAGTAATTTAATAATCATAATTGAAATTTAAAATAATTGTTTTTAAAATTTTTGGAAAGTATTGTTAATGTTAATTAGCAGCACAAATAATCCAGCTTATCTATAAGTATAAAATCATAATTTCTTTGACTGAAATGATCAATTAAATTATTTCAGAAATGTCAT